AACTTTCAGCCAGGTTTATCTTAAACAATTATCAGCCATCTTTTTCCACGACAGAGCAGCTGAATCCCAAAGTGTATTTATAAACATAAGATCAGCAATAGGGCTTTGAAAGCCAACACATGCTTTTCAGAAGCTATTTCCTGTTTCAAAAAAGCAGACATTGTAGATGATGGCAACGTGTTCCAACCTCTTTCTAGCATCAATAACATGCAAATACGAAGAATTGCAGGAGCTGTATAAATGAGACAAAGGGCTACTCTTCCGAGAGTTTACATTTCATTTGTGCAAATGGAAAATGGCACACTTGAATTGCTAGCAAAATACACAATTTACATGCACACAATTCAGCAGTTGTTCCCTTAATGCAAGGCTTTGTAAATGATAAGAAGCTTAAAGATCACCATACCCACACTGCCCTTCTGTATTGTTTCACTTCTGCCTCATCTGGTTCACTTTACATTGACCATTTCAGTGGAGCTACAGGTGTCTAGCAATTTGTTTGACAACAATAAATTGTAGCACAGTACATCACTTACTCTATAAAGGAAATAGAGCCTCCACTGGCTCACTCAATTTTTGTAGACCTCTATCCATTATTACAACGGTTTGCTGACTTTTCTTGTAAGAAAGAGTAAACTCTTTTGCTACCTAAGTTTTCTGTGTTCAAACCTGCAGAAGAATGGAATAAAATGAGCTGCTACTACCCACTGCTGGGTTCTAAATTAACTATAACAATTCAAGAAAGTGACACTGGTGCTGTTGTATCCAGCATAATGAAAACCACAGTTGGATGCATCAGGATGGTCAAAAAGCAAAAGCAAAAAAAAAAAAAAAAGTTAAACTATGTGAAAGTTGAGCTACTGAAAATATGTCACTATAAAAAAAATCAGTGATGACCTTCAGTTGAAATACTGTCAGTCTTGAGCCCCCCTCTTTCAATGCAAAGGTAGGTGGAGGGTGTCAGAACTGGATAACAAAATCAGTGATTAGATGGGCCGAAATATTCTGTGGAAGGATAGACTGAAAAGATTGGGACAGTTCAGAAAAGAAAGTTTACGGTGATATAACAAAGCAAATAATTTTAGAACAGGTAAATTACATTCAGGGATAGGAGGAAAGGACAGTAGCCCTGCCCTGAGAAATAACGGTATAACATACCTGTTGTTGAAGTTTCTTAATTAGAAGTTTATTGTTCTCTGAGACATGAGTGTATTTCATGCCGGAGGCTTTACGTATTCCAAAAATCCTATCTACCCATCATCAATTCTAGTTCACCTACTTGCAAAGGCTTTGTGAGGAACAAAAGAGTAGTCATTTTTTCCTTTTATCTGTCTTGCAACTAAGACTAGTCAATCCAAAATAATAGGCGGTGCTAACAGCTGTGCCTACAATTATCGAGGGTATCTGATACTTTCCTTTATAACATTGTTTTTTTTTTTCTTGCTTGTAACTTCACAAGGTACACATTTTGGGATGAAATTTGTCATGCTGAATGTCTGCTTCCGACTGACTGAAATTTCAGCCCAGCTAATTCAGCTCTTTAGAAAAAATGAAAAATACGGGGTGGTAACAGTTGTTTGTTTCCTGCCCCTATAAAAAATGATGGCAAGTTTTCTTTTCCTTAAAAATCTCTAGTGCCTCCATTCTTTGGAGCAGGGTTTTGAATTTTGGCAGGGCAGATCAGGAGTGTGACATGTGCTGTCCCTAAGATCACCTGCCAAATTTGGCCATATTTAGTTTTTGTTTTTTTTTTAAATGACACTGCACATGCTCAGCGACGTCTAATATTTGTAGCAGCTAAAATCTGAAGATGTATATCCCCAGTGAGAATGCACCTTTCCCTCTCAGATTTTAGTGCTGATCAGACCACTCATTTACCATTTATGGGGAGAAGAGCAACACTTCCAGACTCCCCATCATGGTAGTCCCCCAGTTTCTCCAGGCTGGAGGTAAAACCATGCATAGGATCTGAGAGCAGGGAGCCGATCCTTTGTGACACTCTTCCTCCTAATCCATCTTCTGGGAGCCATGGAGCCTAGAAGAAAAAGCTGTCTGATTGAAATGCAGAGGACAAAAGCTAGGAGAAGGAAAGAAGTAGGTTAAGATGAGTGAGACTGGGGTTGGAGGTGAGAGAAGAGGCTAGGGCTGAGTGGGAGGGAAGACTGTGGCTGGAAATGGAGTTGGAGCTGAGAACCAGGCGGCCGTAGGTAAGGATCATTGAGATTAAATGATGACCCAGGGGAAGGTGGATTGAGAAGGGCCTGGTAAACAGATTGGGACTAGGAATTGGTGTTTGCGGGGTGGAGAAGCTTCGTTTCTGACAGGAGTGAAGGTTACAGGGAGAGAACTGAGAGTGGGTAGGCAGAGAGACTAGGACAAAGGATCAGGAATGATGGAGACAGGTTGGATGAGGTGTCAGCATTGGGGATGCTTTTTTAAAAGCCTGAGTTACCACTCTCAAATGGCTTATGCCTCTCTGAACTGGTTAGTCTCAAAGGGCCTAGTTACATGGTAATTTTGGGTGGCTCGTGGACCTCTTAACCCCTGGACTGTCTGCACATTACCACCTTAAAGTAGTTTTAAGCACTCATTATGTGGCTTAAAGTTACGCCACTCCAGGGCAGATTTATCTTGCGCACAAGCCAGCTCCTGATCAATTAAGATATGGCCACTCCCCAGATGTGCCACCCGAATTGAAGTCCTCTGGTATCCCAGGATCTCTCATGCCACCACCTGTAGAGCAGGGATAGAAGACCGTTCTGGCTCGCCAACACCCTAGCGGCAACTCATAACTACGCCTCCTAGTCCTTCCCCAGCTCGCCAGGCCTCTAGTGGCAACTCATCTGTGCAAATGGGGGACAGTCAAAAGGTTTCTAGACTCTGGGTGTGACTACTCCAGACTCCAAGCTAACACTAACACCAACATTTGTGTGGCTCACAGCGTAAGGTGTAACAAGGCCCTGAGGTATCATCCTGCCCTACTGACTTCAAATTAACATGGCTACCTCTCTCAAACAGGGGGTGTTAGAACTATATTACAAACACATTACATTTTGCAAGATAAGTATCAAAGCCAGGCTATGGGAGAAGGAAGGTTATTTGTGTAATCTTAACTTGGCCCCTTTTCCTACAATACAGTTGCTGCCTGCAACTTTAATACATTCTTTAATGCAATTTTGCACATGGTAAAATGAGTAGGTAAGCAACAGAGAATAAATGAGTAAAATCTCAAAATCTTATTTGCCTCCCTTCATGATCTGAGCATAACTATTAATATGAAAAGTTAACTGCCAACTTCTGAATGCATGGCAAAAAGATAAAATTGTAATCTCATTTTTAATTACCTTTTTGAGTAAACTGGAGCAAATGTGCTGCATGTCATGAAAGAATGCAATCCCAACAGTTGCATTTGTGTTAACAAATGGGCAATTTAAAAAACAAATCAGAGAATAAACACTGCTGTACAGTGCAGTATGTGATCTTGCAGTTTCATACACTATTTTGTAACCTCTATAGATTATTTTAATTTGCATAAATTGGGGTTTATTCACCTGTTGAGCCCTTCCTGTGGAAAAGACTTCATGTGTGCAGTGCCTCATTTAAGAAGACAAAATGAAATGCCATTTTTGAGGATGGAATAATTGCATAGGATTCATATTCCACAGGGATAATACAAGTTTTGCATATAAAATGGTACAGTAACAGAGCAACACAGAGCAAACACTGATAACTTGTGTGTGCACCATTTGAGTTATGCATATCTGTTCATCATTTTCCCCTTTGAAATGTTTCCTTGGCCAAATCACAAAGGAAAAAGAGACCTAGGTATCTTGACCTTTCATAGGCCCTAAATAAAAGGGAAATAAAGTGGATTTCCTGCCTTAAAAAACTTCAGAACAAAAAGTCTGCTCCTTTTTAATAGAGAGATATTTTTATTTGTTTCTTTCTTTTCCCTTCCTCCTACAGATTTAACTCTGACTGGTCTACACCTGCAAATGGAGAAGAGATCCATAAAAGAGTGAAAAATATTTTAAGAACACACAGTGCTAGGCAAAAGCTGACTTTTGTAAGTTTTTTAATATCCCAAACTAAAAACCTCCCCTTTCCCCATGTCCCACAAAACATATCTATTTCTTTTATGTAGACTCTGAAACTTGATTCTGCACACAGTTGAACAATGTCACCTGCAACGAATTAAGTGTTGTATGCATCCTTGGTGGACAGGTGGTATGGGTAGTATTCTCATGCAGCATCAAGGGGTGGTTAATCTTTACATTTGTCTCCTGTCTCCAATTTAAGGAAAAAAGCCTCATAGAAAAGTGTTATGTGGCTACAGAAAGTTAAAGGCTTAACTTCTGAGTAGCTTTATCTCAGCAGCTGGTTCTGTCCAGCTGTTAATATTATTTCTCAAATGCACACTTTTTTGTTAATTACCTGGCTTCTGTGAATAGTGGCAGAAGAAAGAACTCTATCAAATTAAATCATGCCCTGGATCAGACTGTTACATCCTTCTGCCTGTTTGAACTTCAGAGTGTTTGCAGTCAGATAAATGACCTCATTCTCTTCCTGTGTGTCCGAGTCCTTCAAATGTAGGCCAATAATTCTTTTTTAAAAGTTAAGCTTCCAAGTCCATTAAAGTGATTCTGCTCTGGAGAGTGACTTTGTAAAATTGGCATCAAGAGGTTCCATACTTGTGTGTCACTGTCTCCAGGAGTCGGTACATTTAGAAGTAAAAATTTTATTCTAACTCAACCCAGAATCTGAGCATCAGTCTGGGCTCACCTGGAATGTGCTTCCTCAACACAAATTCTGTTGCTGAAACTTGATTAACAAATCAGTTATATCAGACTAGAGTCCATGGTTATGCTATCTTTTTAGAACGATTAGGATTAAAATGTAGTCAAACACTTTAATTGGAGAAATGAGTATATTCATGAATTGTGATGATGCTTATTTGCCTGTAGTAAGTGTGTGAGAATGTGTGTGTGTGTGCACGCATGCCGTTTAAATCCATAGAACTCAAAAGACTTAATAAAAGAACTAATGATAAAATG